TTATTGTTAATGCAAAAAAATTATAAGTTTTATATTGAGTGAAAAAGTGTGCAGATACTTTTGTCCACCCTCTGTATGTATGAATATTACTTTAGTTGAAAGTCTTTGGAGCTGTATAAAATTTTTACAAATAAAATGCTGTAATCAATTAAAAATATGTATAATTTATATTTAGTATATTTAATTCATTATATTTATATAAAGTAATCTATATATTTTTTATTATATAGTCAATCAAAGTTCTTGTAATAAGTAAACTAAGGGCTGATATTATATACAATAATTGCCTTCATAATAATTCATTATTTACTGAACTTATTATTGATATTGATGATATTAATAATAATTCTGATAATTAAATTGATTTAGAAAATATTAATGAACTAGCTGATAATTTAATAGTACTGGCAGAAAATGATTTAGATTTTTCTAAAGGATCAGATAAAGAAATTGATGAATTCTAACTAGAAAATGAATTTGCTGAATAGCTTCAGAGTTAGGTAGAAATGCTAAAAGAAGAAAAAAAAATACTAAATTTAATAAAGAATCTGATTAGGATAATAATAGTATATTAGATAATATTACTCACTTTGTTATTAATACTAATGCTAAATGGATTAGAAATTCTTTTCAAAGATAATATAAATTTACCATTTGAATTAAAAATATTTTTGATTCAGAATTTAAATTAGTAAATAAAAACATTTATGATTAAATACAATTTTATTTAATCTTATAAAAATATATAAAATAGTTTGTAAAGTAATTGGCTTTCAATTGTTACATTTTAAAGAAATAAATTTCAATTAATATCATTTGATCTCAGATACAGACAAAATATCTAAAACATAAATTTTTTTGGATATAGACTATCTGAGACTGAACGTTCAAAGTTTATATTTATATTTCATATATGTATATATGAATCATTATTTATAATAACTTAGAGTGAGAAAATAAATACGAATTTTTTAAGAAAAATTATTTGAAATTATAAATTTATTTTAATTATAAAGTTTTTTGAACAAGAAGATAATTAAATAAAAATAAATCTGATATTTTATTATAATATATTTATTACAAAACGCTATAAATTATTATAAATTAATAAAATCACTAAAAATTGTTACATTGCTTATATAATTCAAAATATGAATTTAGATAGTACCACTTATAATAAAATTTGCTTAACTAGCTATTATAATATAAAATGTGAAGAATATCTAAAAATAAGAGATACATGATCTCTTTTAAAAAATATATATAATCACGAAATATTAGAAATGTGATACTTTCATGTTCATGATCCATTTAGAAAAATACTTAAAGAGAACCTAAGAATCTTTTCTAAGAATAGATATATTAGTATATGTAAAAAGTTTTATGAAAATGGTAAAGAATTTCCTATTATCAGAAAGAAAACAAATTATATATATTGTAATGTATGTGTCTTCCTAGTATTCATATCTAAAAGATATATAGATTTTTTATTTCAATTAAAATAACCATTTGAAGAGATATATTATTGGAAATACTATTTTTAATAGACATACAAAAAGAAAAGAAATTCTCCAATTTATTGATACAAGAGAATTTATGATCTGGTAATATAAATAATACATATTAAAATAAAAGACTAAACTGAAATATTTTTAACTAAAACTTTTATTCTAATCTCTTTTACATTCAGAAAAGAATAAATTAGCTTTAGTATTATATGATAGTAATCACTGGTCAAAGTGATGTGATATGACATACATTTATAAATGATAAATTTTATAGACATGGTCTATTTCCTATTGATTTATCATTAAAATCCATTAAATTTATACTGCGGAAATACGGTAGAAACTTGTCCCATTTCCATACGGTTTCCATGACATTGATATTAACAAATATGCTTCAGATTTTCAATTGATATATTTGGTATATATTATAACGAAATGTTCAATGAAATCTTAGATATATTTGGATTTTCGATTGAGATATTTGGTATATACTATTATATATATCTTGATTACATTCGCTATAATATGTTATTATATATCTTTATTATTGCAATATAAATGGCATAATAAGTATGAAGGTTTATGTGATGAATTTAATGTATCGTGACGTGAATGGTGATAGATATCCAAAACTAGGTAATATATTTGTCGATAAATGGCTGAATATTATGAATGAAAAAAAAATTAGATCAATAAACAAACATATCAGTTCATGAGGAAGTTTTGGTTCTGGAACGGGTAACTCGTGGTATATGTTCTGTATTTAATTTACGTCATTTTATAGTTTTCGTAGGAGGTTCAGTCAGTTTCGTGAAATTACTAACATCGTTGGTCTTATCTTTAGATAATAGTTCCATATTTAATTTACGCTGTTTTACAGTCTTTGTGAGATTAGTCAGTTTCATAATATCATCATTGGTCTTATCCTTAAATAGTGCTCATTGTTTTCCATATTTAATTCTCGCATTATCATTCTGCTTTCTAATGCTATTATCTGATTCAGCCAGATAGGAAAGGGATTGTTCAGACATGTTATTAGGATTAAGACTAGGCCCAGTGGAATATATTTTATGATTAAATGAAATATCAGAATGCGAATTAATAACATATTATGGATCTGTTGATATCTATAAGCATAAAATTTTAACCATAACGATAAATATATTGAGTAAAATTATAAAAGAGAGTTCGGAATAATATTAATAAATATTACATGATCATTATCACCAATTGAGAATAAAGTTGCATATTGTTCATCAATATTGTTCAATGATTTCATTAAATCGTCCTCAAAGTTTTCTAAAATTAAAAATAATTATTCTATATATTAGTTAAAAGTCAAAATATTAGAATATATATACCTGGAAGCTCTGTAAAGTTAGTATTTGAAGCAGAGATAGCCAAGTCTATGTCATAGCCATCAACGGTAGATTGTTTAGAATTTCTATTATCCCTATAAATCCTTGCATCTCGACTTGTAAATTCAGGTTCAGAATCTGAATCGATAGCATTTGAAAGAATTGTATTTATATCAAATAACTTAATAGCCCATTGTGGAAAGTTTGATAATGTTGGACAGGCTGGGATGAATAGTGCTAATTGGTGAAATCTGGCTTTATTTGGAGTTACTGTTATACGTCAGTAGGGATTTGTTTTTCCACCAATTGAATTCTTGCGTAATTTTAATTGACATTGTTTTTCTATTTCATTGTCGATAATTCCATGCACTCGTATAGCCTAAAATCAGAAAATAAACATATTATTCATAATATTAATAAATATAATGATAATATATTCGAAAGTTTAAGATCCTAAAAGTTAATACTTCATCACTACGCTAAGGAATAACAGGGACAAAATATGTTTCATCTAGTATTAGTTAATTATCATCAGTGATTTGTCTTTTTTTCAGTTCAACTGTATCTTCATCCTCGCTAATTTCAGGTGAAATTAACTCCCATGCAAATAGTGCTTTGACTTCTTTAACTGGATATCCTAGTTTTTTCATATCAAGTGTATCAATAATATCTCTTCGCATTTGAAACTTCTATAAAATTAAAGAAACATTAGATATTTATATTGAAAATTTTATTTGTATTTTCAATTTTTATGATATATAAACCTTTAATGTTTTATTATTACGATGGCTATTAATCTTCTTAGTCTTTAATTTTTTAGGTGAAGTTTTAAAAATGTTACATCTTGTTCCAAAGTAAGTATAACAAATCTGATGAATCGATTCTTCTATTCACATTTCACCTTTTTCTAAAAAGAATTAAATAAACTAAGAAAATAAATCAATAATATATATTTATACTTACTAAAATTTTCTCCTCGAGATTCATATTCTTTCATGTAAAATATCAAATATGCTTTAAGAATCCTTTGATTAATTTTATGAGTGAAGGATTTGGAATAATCAAAAGCAAATTCATTTTCAATCACTTCATTAGAATCTTTGTCATCTTGTTCATTTGCCTTCATTTTACTTTGAATTAAAGCAACCAGAGTGGGAGTTAAATCATATGGATTTGGGTTTACTTTATTATTATTGTGATTTTCGTTTATAATCTCTGATTCTGAATCTGCTATAAGTAAATCATCGATAGATTTGAATTTTCTTCTCTTACGAAATCCAGTTGTGAATTGAAGGCTACATTGTTGTTTTTCCATGCAAATTTCTAGTTTAGATATAACATCATTCATCGCATTTTCTTGACTTACTTTTAATTGCTCAATTATGCTTTCAAGTGATGTTATGTTATCATTAACAGAATTCTTTTGT